GCAGCACGGCGGGCTGCAGCAGGGCCGGTGGCGGGCTGTAGCAGGGCCGGCGGCGGGCTGTAGCAGGGCCGGCGGCGGGCTGTAGCGGGGGCCGGTGGCGGCTGTAGCAGGGCCGGTGGTGGGCTGTAGCAGGGCCGGTGGCGGGCTGTAGCAGGGGCCGGTGGCGGCTGTAGCAGGGCCGGTGGCGGGCTGTAGCAGGGGCCGGTGGCGGCTGTAGCGGGGCCGGTGGCGGGCTGTAGCAGGGGCCGGTGCGGGCTGTAGTGGGGCCGACGAGGGGCCGAAGTGGGGCCTAGGCGGGCCGGCGGGCTGTAGGCGGGGCCGACGCGGCGGGCTGTAGCAGGGGCCGGTGGCGGGCCTAAGCGGGGCCAGCGCGGGGCCGACAGGGCGTAGGTGGGGCCGGCGCGGGGCCAAAGAGGGGCCTAAGCGGGGGCCGACGGAGCCTACGCAGGGCCGACACGGGGCCGAGACGGGGCCTGGGCGGGGCCTACGCGGGGCCGACGAGGGGTACGCGGGGTCGACGAGGGGTACGCGGGGCCTACGCGGGGCCGACGAGGGGTACGCGGGGCCTACGCGGGGCCTACGTGGGGCCGACGAGGGGTACGCGGGGCCTACGCGGGGCCGACGAGGGGTACGCGGGGCCGACGAGGGGTACGCGGGGCCGACGAGGGGCCTAAGCAGGGGCCGACGAGGGGCCTAAGCGGGGCCGACGAGGGGCCTAAGCGGGGCCGACGAGGGGCCTAAGCGGGGCCGACGAGGGGCCTAAGCGGGGGCCGACGAGGGGCCTAAGCGGGAGCACGACGGAAGGGGCGACTCGGAGGGTCGCTAAAAAAATGCGCGCCTCGGGGCGCGCTTCGGTGGGCCCTAGGAACAGGCCCTAGGAAGGGACCTGCTCTGATTCCATGAGAAAGTACGAACGAGAAGTGAAATGACTATGAATGAAGTGAGTACAAATAGGAAACCCTAATTGGGTTGTACCCCCTATGGGATACCCCACTATAGCCTACAGAAACAAGTAAGCTATAAGTTCTGACAGAGGCGAGCAGTTGCTTCAGCTGTAGCTGTGGCGTTGGTCGGTATGAAGTGACCCATTTTATAGAACTTATCGATCACTACGAGGATGGAATCATGTCCCCGTGAGGTCGAAGGAAGTCCTGTGATGAAGTCGAGGCTAACGACCTGCCATGGCTGCTCCGGTACGGGTAGAGGCTGAAGTAACCCTGCTTTTTTCTACTTGCTGCTCTTCATCCGTTGGCACGTGTCGCACGAGCTGACGAACTGCTGCACGTCTGCTTCCATCCCGGGCCAGTAGTAATACTTCGCTATCCCTGCGAACGTCTTGTTGCTCCCAAAATGTCACGCGTATGGTACGTCGTGAAACTCCTCCAATAGGATATGCCGTAGCGGGGCGTAATTCGGTACCCAAATCTTTCCTGAACCCTTCCTTACAGCTAAGTCTTTCTCCCACTGTAACAGCTTCTGGTTCTGTGCTGTAGTGATTTTCTGCGTCCACGGAGTACCCATGTTGGAATAGACCCTTGAGCAGAGGGTTCATCCCGTCGAGCTGGATGCTTGCTTCATGTCCAGGGCGGCTCAATGCGTCTATTTGTTGTTTAGCCCGGGCTTGTAGACGATGTCGTAGTGGAAGTGAGTTTCCAGGAAGTCCACCCACCGCACCTGTCGTCGTGAGAGCGTCGGCTGCGACTTCAGGTATTTGAGACTGCAGTGGTCAGTATAGACTGTAGTCTTGGCTCCCTTTAGGTAACACCTCCACGCCTTGAAGGCTATGATTATTGCTAAGGCTTCCTTGTCGTGAATGGGGTAGTTTAGTTCTGCTCTGTGTAGTTTCTTACTGAGGTAGGCGATGGGCTGCAAACCGCGTCCGTGATCCTGCATCAGTATTGCTCCGACTGCTTGGTCACTAGCGTCTGCTTCCACCACGTAGTCCTTGTCTGGGTCTGGTAGGATGAGTACTGGCGCTGTAGTGAGTGTTGTCTGTAGCTGCTTCATGGCTTGCTGGTGAGGAGTATCCCACTTGTAAGGTGTATCCTTTTTCAGTAGGTCCGTCAGTGGCGCTGCTATCTCAACGTACTGCGGCACGAACCTGTTGTAGTAGTTGGCGAAGCCTAGGAACTGCTGTAACTCCTTCACGTTCTCTGGTACTTTCCACTTCTTGACGGCTTCGATCTTCCGTGGGTCCACGTGTACGCCCTCGGCACTCACCATGTGCCCGAGAAACTGCACCTTCTTCAGGGCGAAGTCGCTCTTTGACAGCTTCACGTAGAACTTGTTTTTCCGCAGGATCTCGAACACCTTCCGCAGATGCTCCACGTGCTCCTTCATGTTCTTGGAGTAGATGAGAATGTCGTCCAGGTACACCACCACGCATTCGTCCAGCAGGGGTCGTAAGATGTGATTCATCTCCGCCTGAAACGTTGCTGGTGCGTTGCAGAGTCCGAACGGCATTACCAAGTATTCGTAGGAGCCGTATCTGGTAAGGAACGCTGTCTTGTGGACGGAGTTGTCTGCCATCTTGATCTGCCAGTAACCCGATCGTAGGTCCAGTTTCGAAAATACTGTTGCTCCACGCAGTTGATCGAGTAGGTCGTCTATGCGCGGTATGGGATATTTGTTTTTGACTGTCTGTTTGTTCAGTGCGCGGTAGTCGATGCACATCCGTAGACTGCCGTCTGGTTTTGGAGTGAAGAGAACTGGTGCGCCGTAGGGAGAGGTGGATGGGCGGATCAGTTGTCTGTCCAGTAGATACTCTATCTGTTTTTTCATGTCTGTCAGTTCAGTCGGACTCAGTCGGTATGGTGCACGTGAGACGGGTTTCGCACCTGGTTCCTCCACGATCTCGTGCTCGTGGGTGCGTGCTGGAGGTACGCCTGTGGGTAGGTCGTCGGGCATTATATCCTTGTATTGCTCCAAGACCTCCTTTACTACTGCAGGGAGCTCGGAACTCGGCTTCTCCTCCTCTACTGCTGCCATGACCAGTGCTAGGTAACCCATGTTACTCTCGTTCACCGTCTGTTCGAACCGTGCCAGTGTCGTTTCAGGTACGTCCCCTGTATCCGTCCAGCTTCGCAGTGCTATCCGCTTCCCGTTGTTGTAGATGCACACCTTGCTGGTGACCCAATCGATCTCGGGGTTGAACCGCTTCACAAAATCTCGCCCCAAGATAAAATCGAATCCTTTGATGTTGGTTACTGGTAGCTTCGGCTTCCACCTCAACGCACCTATATGTAGCTGCAGTGATGCTTCGCCGTGGACAGGAAGCTTCGTACCATCCACCATGGTTGCTGAAAACTGGGTCTCTTCCGCCTTCTCTCCAATTTTCTCCAATGCTCCGTGGTCACATACCGAGTGAGATGCACCGCTGTCCACCAGTGCCTGGAGGCGTCGCCCATTGCATAACACCTCGAGGAGTAGTGGTTTCTGCTGCGCTGAGTAGCCAAAGAGGGTCTCGCTAATAGGATCATAGGGTACATCAAACTTAATACCTTCCCTTTTTCCTATACCTGGCTCAGCGCTTTCCAACTTCACCTGGGGGGTAGGAGGTTTTTTCCGAGGCTTGTATGATTTCTCCTGAGCCTGGATGTCTCCTCTAAGCCTTGGCAGCTGTGTAGGCTTCACCTGTGGGCAACGGGGAGCCTTAACACCGTGCTGCGGGGAGAGAATATTAACTCCACGAAATGCACGACCCTTTTCCACGCTCCGTGGTACTTTGCCCAACTTCTCAGGTACCTGAATAATTTCTAAAGGCTTTTTCTTGGCCTCTAAACCTCCCCTGAATTTTTTAAAGGCTTGAAAACCACGAGAAGCAATATTCTTCGTTATAGTATCTTTATAGGATACTTTCAACGAATTCTTACTTTCGTGGGTGTTCGGCTGGAGTTTCCCGGTCAGTGCAGAGTCTTTTTTCGCGGAGCCTCCATTCGCCTCGACGATTTCCCCTGATGCCGGCCGATCATGACATTTTAGATTCGCGCCATCATTTTCTCCTTTTTTCACCCGCTCCGAAGTCGCCACGTCGTCGCCTTTTCCTGCTTTCGGATCTTTACGCGATCGCCAGGTCGATCCGCGGCTACTGGCGATTCCCGTTTTTTTACTTCGGGGGTGCTCCACTGTTTCCGTCCCGGAGTGCCGCACGTGCTTTCTTCATTTTGTAGCACGACAAAAACTAATGTCCTGCTGCGCCGCAAAATTCGCATTTTGTCGGCTGCTGCTTCGCGTCGTATTTGTCGATATCCATCGGTTCGGTGAACGTGGGGGGTGCCGATCGCTCCGCGCCGAATGTACGGTTCGGCGTGAAGCGTCGTGTTTCGGGTTGACCTCGAGTCAGCGCGTCGTATCGCTCGGCAGCTCGCACAATGTCTCTGTAGCTGTTGTAATTCGCCGCAATCACCTGCCGCCGAATCTCCATTTTTAACCCTTCGGTGTACACCTGGATTTTTTCGCCTTCGGTCAGGTCGGTGATGCGGTTGAACAGTAACTCCATCTGCTGCGTGTACTGTGTTACACTACTGTATTGCTTGTGTCGGTGTATCTGCTGCCGCGCCATGTAGGTTGTATTAATTGGTTCGAAACGCTCGATTAAATCTGCCCGAAATTGCTGCCACGTTTTCTCCCCGCGGGCTACGTCGGTGTAGTAAATCCATTCGAGAGCCGGTCCACGTAACAGTGTCACTGCGAGCCGAATCCTTGCTGCGTCGTGTTGCGGGGTCGAACAGCCAATGGCCTCGAAGTAAATTTCGAGGGTGGCCACGAATCGCCGGACGTCAGATCCCTTTGCGCTTGGATCGAACGCCTCCGGGAGCCTCGGTCGTGCAGCTTCGAGGTTCGGCGACAGTGGTGTCATTGGTCCGTGAAATTTCGGTGTCGCCACTGCTGCTTGAGTTGTCGGTGCTGCAGTCGCTGCGGTCGCTGCTGCTGCGGTGGCGAACCCTGGTTGGCTTGTCAGAAAAGCCTCATGTCGACGAAGCGTCGCCTGCGTCTGCTCCATGTCGGTGCGGAGGCTCGCGATGTCGCTCGTAGTCGCGTAGTTGTCGCCTTGGCCCTCCATGCCTGACATCAACGCGTCCGAAAAATCGAATCGAGGGGGAGCGAAAAACACGGAACCGGTTTTACGTACCCGAAATCGATGTTTGAATGCGTCGCCCCCGCGGTTTTTTGAAGAATGGTTTTTAGCGGTCGAAAGAACTTGGCGTGTAAACGGGCTCTGATACCAAGTGTGGGGATCTAGGATCGAGAATAGAAAAGAGAATGAGAATTGAGTCGAATTGAATGATCACATGGGTACAACACGAGGCTATATATAGGCTCGACAGAAGGCCCCGTAACCAGGTGTTACGCGAAGGTTCCGCGGGCCGCGTAGCGTCCCGAACAGATCCTTACCAAATTCGGTAGAAGGCAATTCGGTGGCAACCGAAAAGGCCAGAATTCGGTGCACGCAACCTAGCTCGGTGCTATAACTATAATAAAATAGAGGAAAGCACCTAGCCTAGGAAATCAAGCAATTCATGCATGTATATAATTATCCTATGCTAGAAATAGCATGATAAAGTAAAGGCAAGCAAGCATAGCTGACATAAGCCGTCGTACTCTCACAAACGTGGTGAGCCCTGCAAGCCTGTGTGCCTTAATTGACCATCCCTTTTTACTATTGTTTCTGTACGCCCTCTGCCTCTCACCTCTCCCTCTCTCGCCCTCTCTCTCTCACCCTCTGCTCCACTGTCTCCCTCTCCCTCACCCGCTTCCTCTCTCACTGCCCCTTCCACTCTAGGGTATTGACTGCTCTGCTCTCCTTCCTCAGGGTCGCAAGCTCGTGGTGAAAGAGCTCCTGCCAGTTTGCTCTGCCTTCTACTACGTCCAGCCAGTGAGATTCACACGTTGCTTCTGCTATGGGAGCATCCCATGCATCACGTTTGGATAGCGGGGATGTTACCAGTGCCACCATGTGCTGACATGTGCTGTGCTTCCTCTTCTCCCTTCACGCTCCCCCTGACCATCCTTCGCCCAAGCAGCAGTAGGAACACCACGTGCCACGCGGTCCTTTTTGTACCTTAGCGTTCCGCTACCACCGTGTTGCTGCATCTTCCTTCACCCCCTTCAACCACCTCTTTTCTTCTCAACCCCCCCCCCTTACCATTTTCCACTTCCCTTTGCTTCCACAGGCCGACACATGCGCGTCCGTGGCTCAGTTTCTCAGCATCACCGAGGAAAGCCTGCAGCAGCTCAACCCCAGCGTTAGCTGCTCTTCTCGCCTCCCCGCGTTCCACTCTCTCTGTGTGGAGCGCACCCCAGCCAAAGCCAGGCCGACATGTGCCAATAAGATACGGATTGGCCGAGTGGTGGACTTCAAGCAGGTGGCGGCATCCAACGGAGCCACCATGGTGGACCTCTGCAGGCTCAACCCCTGGATCTCCTTCCGCGATTCCCCGCGCGACATTCATATTGTAAGTTTAAGGCAAATGACTGAGTAGTTGCTGGTTGCATTACTGGTGGATACATATTCTATCTGTGAGTCGATATATTCTGTAACTACGATTGAAGCATCCCCTCATCTACACGCGTGCAGCATGCTTCATCGCTTCTTATGATTCCAGTCTTTGATTCCTGTGTGTTTTATTGTAACTGTTGCATCTTCTATTGCAGCTTTGTGTGAGTGCCCAATACGCTACACCTCCTCCCGGCGACACCACATCTCCTGCCAGCAACACCATAGCTCCTGCCACCAACACCACAGCTTCTGCCAGCAACACCACAGCTCCTGCCAGCAACACCACAGCTACTGCCAGCAACACCACAGCTCCTGCCAGCAACACCACAGCTCCTGCCAGCAACACCACAGCTCCTGCCAGCAACACCACAGCTCCTGCCAGCAGCACCACAGCTCCTGCCGGCAACACCACAACTCCTGCCAGCAACACCACAGCTCCTGTCAGCAACACCACAGCTCCCGCCAGCAACACCACAGCTCCTGCCAGCAACACCACAGCTCCTTCTGAGTACCCAGACGCAGAGAGTTCTATCAGTAAGCCTCATTGCTGAAGTTGTTCGCCATCCCATCATCCTTTCCCGATCTGGTTCCCATGCGAGGGGGTTGTTTTGGAGAGCTGGCATCGCGTGTGCCCCTGGGAAGCACCATTGCCTGATCAAAGCATTTCAGTATTCGCAGCAGCGATGCTCCTCGTCTTCTCTACCCTTTCCTTCCTGCCCCACGGATCCCCCTTGCGACTCCAGTGCTCTCCATCCTCTGCTTCTTGTGTGTGTCCCCCACCAGCGGGCGTGTGTGGCTACGACATAGTCAGTGGGTGTTTGGGGGGCACGTGCATCCACCGCGGCACCCGGGACAGCACCTGCGTCTGTCTGCCCAACCACCCCTTGAAAGAATACAGCTGTGGTTACTCTCAGTGCTACACCTGTGGTAAGCCCTCGTGATTACAAGTGTGTTAACCCCTCATAGATACAACTGTGGAAAGCTCGCTCTCTGCTGCCAACGCCTCACACACTAGTGGATGCTATGCCGCGAGCACTTCGCACGTAGAAACTTAAGCTGTGTGTTCGCGGATCTAATGTGCTGTGTTGTTGTCATTAATGGTTGGCCTACGTACGTGGCATTCCCATCATTCCCGTTGAACGTGTGCAGATCAGAACTGGGCGGCTATTTCATCCATCCAAGTCGCAGCCAGCAACTGGAGGTGCAAGGACGTGTACACCGTGTATGGCCTCACGCTGCAGCAGTTCACAGACATGAATCATGTAATCTCTGACACGTGCTGCGCCACACCATTGCCACAAGCATGTGTGCGTTATTTTAGCACGTTGCACCGTTCCTATTTCTGCGCCATATCTCCCTTCCACCCTCTTTCACCCTCTCTTGCGCTCTTACCCTTTCTCTCTTTCCACCTCACATGCTGCTCACCCTCTCCCTCTCTCACTGCCCCTTCCTCTCCAGGGTATCAACTGCTCCGCTCTCCTTCCTCAGGGTCGCGACCTCGTGGTGAAAGAGCTGCTGCCAGCTTGCTCTGCCTTCTACTACGTCCAGCCGGTGAGTCTCACATTTTGAGTTGAGTCTGCTTGGGAAGCATCCCATGCATCACGCATGGATAGTGGGGAAGGTACCACTGCCACCATGTGCTGACATGTGCTGTTCTTTCTCTTCACCCTTCACTCTTCGCCTGACCATCTTTTTTCCAAGCAGCAGTAAGACCACATGATACTCGGTCCTCTTTGCACCTTAACGTTCCCAGCATTCCACAACCCATGTGTTGCTGCATCTTCCTTCACCCCCTTTGACCACCTTCCACTTTCCATTTCCTCCCACAGAATGATACATGCTCATCTGTGGCTCAGTTTCTCAGCATCACCGAGGAAAGCCTGCAGCAGCTCAACCCCGGTGTTAGCTGCTCCTCTCGCCTGCTTGCGTTCCGCTCTCTCTGTGAGGAGCGCAACCCAGCCAAAGCCCGGCCGAAATGTGAGAGTCAGATACAGATCGACCGTGTGATGGACTTCAAGCAGGTGGCGGCATCCAATGGAGCCACCATGGTGGACCTCTGCAGGCTCAACCCCTGGATCTGCTTCCGCGATTCCCTGCGCGACATTAATATTGTATGTTTTTCCCACATTCATAGCTTCTCTGATGTTAGGGGTGTACTTCAATGAGCTCACGACATGTGTTCTAGCAATTATTTTCTCTAATGTTTCCCATTTGGCGCCTCCTTGATTGCAGCTTTGTGTGACTGCCTCCTACAAGTGAGCACCCTCCAGAGGTGCATGTGTCCAAGTGCAAATGGAGTCGCAGTCCGTTGCCATGGTGTTAGTATGCTGACCTCTGCAGTTGTTCCAATCACCCTTCAGAGACTTGGCTTGCTTTGGATGAACGTTTTTTGTTTTTGTCTCTAGAACTTTGTTGTATTACTTGGTGTTGTGTGTGTGAGTTTTTCTTGTAGTACATGGCTAGGAAGGAAGCTGTTATTTCATGAGTATGTTTACCTACTAGTTAATGTAGAAGAACCCTATTTTCCCATATCCACCCCCTGGGGAGCTCAAAGTTTGTTTGGCCTTTGTAGGGGATAGGGCCGGGGGTGGGGGCTTGTAATTTCATAAATGTGTAAGCCTGGGCCTTTCCTAGCTGTTTTACACGGATATTAACAGCTTCACATTTACTAGACCCCCCCGAGACTAGATACTAGTCCAATTGGGGTTCTCTTCTTTGTTTTCGTGCCCACACTAACACTGCTAAGGGAGTTAGATGTCCATAAACCCACACAGGGTTGATGCTTCAAGAACCACAGTGCATGCATGCTGCAGCATACCACGTCAGTCCCTACCCTACTCCTGGCCTGCCACCCACTCCTCCACTTCCTCCCCATCAAAGCGGCCAGGGGCCCACCACTCCTCCCCATCGTCGCTCCATTCGTCAGCTTCTCCCATCACCTCGTCTGCCTCATCTTCCTCCTCCAAGGATGTCGCCTCAAGCCCCTCTGCTGCAGCAGCCACCCCATCCGCCTCCCCATCAAGCCCAGGCTCAGCCTCTTCCTCCTCCTCCCCCTCGGTGGCTGCGGGCTCAGGGGCGTTTGCGAGGTCTTCGTAGAACGGGTTGGGGAGGGGACCATCCTCTGCCTCCTCGAGGACATCCTCGAACACCTCCACCTCGGCATTATCCCGCATGTGAGCGAGGAAGCGATGATCCTCGCTCCCGTCTTCAGCGTTGGAGATGCCGGCGGTGAGGAATGCCTTCCTCACCAACTCCTCTGGCACATCGGCCCACGCCTCTGCAATCCATTTAAGCAAGGTTTCAGGCGGGGGCTTCTTCATGTTCCCTGTGGGGCAACACATGGGGTGTTGGTTTGCATGTCAGCAGGATCAAACGAGGACGGCCCATGGCAAGACACAGGGGACAAACCCTCACCTGCACGTGTGGTGAGGCCGATCCCCATCTCCTCGAACCAAGTGCTATAGCTGTGGCAAACCCCGCACTTGAAGCTACGGTTGATGGAGACATTGAGCGGCTGCACCAGGGGGGTGCAGCCGCCAGGGATTACGACACGCGTCACCTTGAACATCTTCAGCGTCTGGCCTCTGCCTTCGGTGAGGTGGCCCCTGTACGAGTCCAGGACGAGTAGCGCCTGCTTGCGCCTTCCCTCCTCGTCCTGCAGCGACTTCAAGAACGGGACAAGCACCTGGGTCGTCCAGTCCTGGATATGGCGCTCATCCATCCAGCCCTTTTCTTGGGCGCGGATGACGACACCTGCGCAAGCAACGATATGCGTTAGTAACATTGTGATTAAGATAATGGTGTTGGTAGCGGTACACATCCTACTGGCTCACCTGGTGGCACCACGATCCATGGAACCGTCTTGCGCTTGAAGATGACGTACGGCGGGAGCTTGAGGCCGTCAGCCATCACTGCCAGCATGACAGTGACGCGCTCCTTTTCACACCCCGCCGTCCTGACATGCACTGTGCGGGCGCCTTTCATTTCGAGGATGCGTTCCGCCGGCATCTCTAGGAAGAGATCCGGCTGGCCATGCTGGATTCTTAGTCAGATCTCAGCATCCGCGTTTCTAGGATGCGTTCCGCCGGCATCCACGGAAATCAGCAGCAGGCTGGCGGTGCTTCATGTACTTCAATGATCACTTACGGAGCAAGCTCAGCGGAACCGCCAACCCCTTGGCACGGTGCGCAAGGAACTGGCGACTTACCGCCCTTTCCATCGCGGGCCACTTCGCCTTCCGTCCGCCACCATGAAGCCGGCGGCGACATCCGGCAGAGACTTCGAGGCGCTCCTTAAGCCTCTTCCACTCGTCGATCTGCTTTGGCTGCACCTTGGCGAGCCTCGCCAAGCCGCGGATGCTGAGATCTGACTGAGAATCCAGCATGGCCAGCCAGTGAAGCTTCTCCTTAGCGGTAAGCGCGTGCCGGGTCCGCTTGGTCATCCTATGACGAGGTGAGGGAGGCGCGGCATCCAAGACTCTTTTCTTCATGCCTTGAGGACGACTTGACTACGGGAAAACTGGGATAACGACTCTAGAAAGTGAGGGGTGTTGCGGGGGAGAGCCATGGGCACTAACAGTAGGATCACTACTGGATGGTGAAGACGTTGGCACAATGGGCTGAGGTGTAGCTCTAGCATGTGCCGCTCGATTAGCGGCTGTGGGACGAGGGCACCTTAAATGTGATATGCCAGAGTCAGGAGAAGTCACCATCACTAAAGATTTTGTAACGCAAATGCTAACGCTCTAAGTACTGGCCGTCGCAAGCCTTCAACGACCATCTGCGGTACGGGGGAATGCACAAAGAGTCTGCCGAGCAGAAAGCAGCTTCGTGCAGAGCTGAAGAAACAGACAGAGCAGAAGGCATGGTGCGGTTGTGACGTTGACGTGCGCCACCCAAAACCGTGGGGGCCGCTCCAAGTCTCTCGTGCAGCCCATGCTCGCGAGTCGTGCATGTTCTAGACCGCTAAGGTTGGAATGCACGATGACAAGACAAAGAATCTTGCCATGTAACGCTAGATCAATGAGAAGCCACACCCGGATTGAATAGTGAAATACTAACATCCGCGGTCCTATCCATGATACAAAAAAATGCTGAAACATCCACAACAGCTAAGCAATCAAATACACTTAATGAAAATATGTCCATATGATAAGACCCAGGTACTATACATTTCTAAGCCTTTGATAAGACCCCCCCCCCCCCCCCCCCCCCCCCCCTTTTTTCTGAATTTTCCATAAGACCCTAGGGTCTTATGTCCTGGAGAATACGGTAATAAGCCCCGGAACTCATCATGTGAGGGGGGCATCCAAACGGGGGATCTTATCAAAAGTTATAATACCATAGCTTGCTTGCTGTAGTGAGTACCAACCCATTCTAAGGTTGGTACCGAATATGTACCACTACTCATCCTGCTCATTTCCGCTTGCACATCTAGAGGTGGTATCATCCGCTAGGTCGTTTCTGGGAACATCGGGAATTGTCAGGGTTCCACAATAAGTTAGGAAACCACTAGCTTGTGAAAACTAGAATGAGAATGAATGAACTATGAAAGAGTTGGGTACAAGTACTAACCCTAATTGGGTTGTACCCCTTATAGGCTACCCTACTATAGCCTACACAAAATGCATAAGCTATGATGTTCTGACACACCCCCATAGGCAAAGTGGGAGAGAACAAGGGGTCACAAGACCAGTCAAGCAAAGCAAAGCAAGCTCAGGGTGGATCACAAAGTCACCACACATTCCGAGCACAAGTTCAAGGCCACAAGGCCAGTTCATATGAAGGAGTACATATATATATAAAAGGCTAGACAAGCAAGAGCAGGTGTATATATATATATGTAACAGTACAAGCAAGGTCAAGAGGTGAGGAAGTGAGGCAAGGCAAGCACAAGACCCAGCTGAGTACAGAAGCGCTGATGATCACAAGGCGCAAGCGCCTTGGTGAACATATCAGCAGTGTTGGCCTCAGAGGCCACGTACGCAAGACGCAGCTGACCACGCTGCTGCAGCTCACGAGCAAGAAAGTAGCAGAGAGCAATGTGCTTCGTTCTGTGCTCCAGTCGCTGCTCCTGACACAAGGTCAGCATGGCCTTGTTGTCTACGTACAGAACTGGAGGAGAACGAGGCGGCTCTCCGAGGTCAGTCAGCACGTAGGTGAGCCAGCGAAGCTCCTGAGCAGCCATGGCTCCTGCGTAGATCTCAGCCTCACAACTGGAGCCGAGAACCGAAGACGAGCGAGTAGCCCGCCACAAAACAGAGCCGGAACCAAGGCTGAAGGTGTAACCTTGTGACGACCGCTGCGTAGCCTGGTCGTCAGCCCAAGAAGCGTCTGCGTGCCCTGTGAGGACCACTGGACTCTGCCCTCCAAGCACAAGCCCCATACCCGACGTACTGCACAAGTAGCGCAACACCCTCTTCGCTGCAGCCATGTGCTCTGGTCTGTGTCTCCCAGGAGCAACATAGCGTGCGAGGAATGCTAAGAGGGTATGCAAGGTCAGGTTGTGTGCAGGTCATCAGGTACATGAGGCAGCCAACAAGCTCTGGGTACGGGCCACTCGACTCTACGGACTCATCCGAAGGCAGAGCTGAGAGCGAGTGGCGAGTAGGCAGAGGAGTGGCCTGAGGCGAGGAGTACGTGAAGCCGAAGCGCTGAAGGACCTGCTGCACCATGTGTGACTGAGTCAGGGTAATGGTGCGGCGTGCTCTGTCCCGGGTGATCTCCAAGCCAAGGTAGCTGCGCAGTTCACCCAGGTCACTGCACGTGTGTCTCTTCTGCAGCTCGGACTTCACGTGGGTGAGTCCAGCAGTGTCAGCTGTGGCAAAGACCAAGTCGTCGACGTACACGAGGATGTAGAACGGCGGCAGAGAAGTGTCGGTGCGCAGAAACAGCGACGGGTCGGCAGTAGAGTGAGCAAACCCAAGAGCCGCAAGTGTATTCCTCAGTGTGTCGTGCCACTCACGCGGTGCCTGGCGGAGACCGTAGACTGGCCGCCGGAGGCTCCACTGGGTGCCACGAGGAAAAGTCCCAGTGAAGCCAGGTGGGCGGCGCAGCCAGATCTCCTCGTGCAGGCTGCCCTGTAGGAAAGCAGTGATGAAGTCAAGAGAGTGTAGCTCGTAGTCACGATGAACAGCTACGTGCAGCAGTACCCGAAGAGTGGTCATCTTCGGGGTGGGAGAGAAGGTCTGAAAGTAGTCAACTCCCTGCCGCTGAAGCCACGAGCCACGTAACGCGCCTTGAAGACAGGCGGAGAACCCGGCGGCCGCTTCACCCTGAAAATCCACATGCCACTGACGATGTTCGCCCCTGGAGGGGGAACGTCGTCAACGTAGGTGCCTGTGGACTTCCAGGAAGCCATCTCTGCGTCCATAGCTGCCTGCCACTGAGAGGAGTAGGGACCCTCTATCGCCTCCGCGTAAGAGCGCGGAGTCGGGATGTCAAGTGCATCCGGGTCTCCCTCAAGGTTAAGCAGTACGGACACGAGATGAGGTGAAGCAGCGGCCAAGCACTGGAACTCCTCCTGCCTGTCCTCAAGGACGTCCGTGCCAAGGGCACACTCACCCCCGACGGACGGAGGACAGACAGACTCTGACTCAGCAGCAAGACTGGCAGCGTAGTCTAGGCGACAGCGAGCAGAAAAGTCGACGAGCTCAGCAACTAGGGCAGACGCAGCAGTGGACTCAAAGAGCAGGAAGAGAAGACTCAGGAGGAGAAGGTAAAGGGGCAAGCAGAGGAGCAGTGGACGGACGCAGAGACATCCGGTGCGTGCCAAGGACATGAGGAGGATGCTGACGCGAACCGCGACTACTAGTGCGAGGAGCACGGACAGGCGATGCAGGGCGAGACGCAGTGTGAGAGGACGTCCCCGTTATAATATTTTCTCACTATTATATTTTTCCGTTATCCTATTCTCCCTTTTCTCCTCTTTATTTTGGTCTTTATCTCATCTCAATCGGCCTACTATTCTATTCTCTAGAGCCTTCTATTTATTTCTCTTATTTCCTACTTTTCCCACCGACATACCTATTATACGGCACCGACAGCACCGACAGTGGTGTATACGGTGTAATCTGGGCGTAATCCTAAGTGCCAATAGACTTGCGTGCTTATGCGCACTTGTGATTGTAGTATTGGGAAGGGTGTGTTCCCGAAGGTTCGTTTTATCTCGTTTATCCTTGTACTTTCCGAGTATAAATAGGCCTTGTATTCAGTTTTAGTGACAAGTTTCGATTGAGAATTCGATCCTGTGACACTTGTTAATCAGAGCCGTTCTCACTCGACAACTCTCGGCTAAGCAGCGGTCGCGGAAAAAATCGCCTCGAAAAACCGCCGAGGGCGACCAATTCGACGCCGATTTCTGGTAAGTACCAGTTCCGCGCTTTTCGAATTAACCCCCTCGCGTGGTTTTTGAACAGGATCGGTTCGCCGGCGACCAACGACGTTACGCAGCAGCTCTTCGCGCAAATTTCCAAGATGGAAGCGGAGATGCGAGCGACGACTGAACGGTCGCGATTGGAGAACGAGCAGCTACGAAACAAACTGCAGCGCGTTACGTGGCTCCTCTCGACCATGAACATTCCTGCTTCGACGACTTCGCAGCAGTCGAAGCTGTCAGAACATATCTATAGCTTATACTGCTGTGTAGGCTGTAGTGGGGTATCCCATAGGGGGTACAACCCAGTTAGGGTTTCATATTTGTACTGCTTTCATTCATAGTTCATTCATTCCTGTTTTCTTATTTCACATGGTATAGAGCGGGTCCTGCCTTAGGACCGTTTTCTGGGCCCACCAACGCGCGCCCCGAGGCGCGCCCAATTTTTTTTTTTAAGCGACCCCTCGGGTCGCCTTTTCACTCGCGGCCCGCCGCCTCCCCTGACGCGGCTTTGCCGCCTCCCCTGACGCGGCCCAGCCGCCTCCCTTGACGCGGCCCCGCTGCCTCTCTTAACGCGGCCCCGCCGCCTCCCTTGACGCGGCCCCGCCGCCTCCCTTGACGCGGCCTCGCCGCCTCCCCTGACGCGGCCCCGCCGCCTCCCCTGACGCGGCCCTGCCGCCTCCCTTGACGCGGTTCCGCCGCCTCCCCTGACGCGGCCCCGCCGCCTCCATTGACGCGGCCCCGCCGCCTCCCCTGACGCGGCCACGCCGCCTCCTCTGACGCGGCCCCGCCTCTGCTGCCGACGGCCCCGCCACTGCACTCAACGGCCCGCCGCTGCACCCTGCCGGCCCGTCGCTGCTCCTGCCGGCCCGCCGCTGCACCCTGCCGGCCCGCCGCTGCTCCTGCCGGCCCGCCGCTGCACCCATCGGCCCGCCGCCTCTTACGGCCCGCCACTTGCACCTGCCGGCCCGCCGCTGCACCTGCCGGCCCGACGCTGCACCTGCCGGCCCGACGCTGCATCTCCCGGCCGAGCCGCCCCAGCAGCCGAGCCGCCCGGGACCCGAGCCG